GAACTTTGAGTTACATTATTTACATTATTAATGTAAAAGTCCAATTAACAAAAATTTATTATATTTTATTTCTGTTATTTTTTAAATAAATCTTTATTTAAAAAAAAAGCACACTCGATCTAAAAAAATTGCGAACCAACATGGTTTCAAAGTGGTGGGGCATCTAAAATTTTCTTGAAAAAAAAAAATTTTTCAGAAAAAGAGTGGGGGTCACGTGCCCCATTGGCCCCCCGGTGTCGTCGACTCTGATCAACCGAATGATAAACTATAAATTTTAGTGCAGTATAGTCTTTTTTATACGCTATTAAAAAATTAGCTCAAATACATTTATTTATTTATTTAAAACTTTATTTTCAGTTGATTGTTTAAATAGTTTTATAATCAACATAAACTAATTAAAATCGGCACGCTAAACTGTATAAGACAATGCGAACGAAAATACATATCTTAAATAAAAAAATTAAAAAAATTAAAAATGGTTTACATAGTAAATAATATAAATGTCAATAAATACAACAAATTAGTTTTTTTTGACGTAAAAAATATAAAATAAAATGAATTATTTTTTACAGATTTTACAAAAACAAGATTTTCCGTACTATTTTAAAATATTTTTTTTTAACATCTTTAGACAATTTATTGACATAGTTTCATTGTCTAGGGAGTTCCATAACGAAGTTGCTCTAAATAAGTTACTTTTTATGAACTTATGTTTAGAGACTGTGGGTGGGAATACTAATTTTTTACTACAGCGAAGACTTAACGGCAGGGATGTTTTGATAAAAAGATCTTACATAAAATCTGAATTTAAACCATTTATAGATTTAAAAACTTCAGTGAAGAAAAACCTTAAATTTCTAAGGTGGATACTGGGTTATTTTGTATTTTTTGAATTTCTTCTAATGGAAGATCAAATCTTTTATAGACAATACAAAGTCCTTTTTTATAAATTATATTAATTAGGTTATTATTATACTTCGAACAAAACATCCAAATCAAAGGACATTAGGAAAATTTTGACAATATAAAAGCATTGAATAAAACATTAGCTTGTTTCACTGATAAGAGGCTCCTTATTCGTGAAAGAGCAAAGCATTTACTATTCGCTTTTTCACACAGACTTTTAATATGATCATCAAATTTCAAATTAATTATAACTCCGAGAAGTTTAACCTTAGAGAAAACCATGATTTCCAACCATTAAATATTGATCTTTGCAAATTTTTAAGCCAGCTTAAAAAAATGAAATTTGTCTGGATTTGCAACCATTTTATTCAAAGTAAACCATGAAATCGCATTTGATGTTTCTATTTGAAGACGAGCAATAACACTCTCTAGGTTGTTGCCACAAACAGAAAGAGTGTTTTCACCAACATAGTTTCAGATTTCAGAGTCTTTTATAAATAAGAAAAAATCGTTGATAAATATATTTTTAAAAATTGGTCCCAAAATTGAGCCTTGAGGTAGACCAGATTCCATATCTAAATAATCAGAAAATGACGATCCTAGAGTTACCCTCTGTTTGCGAGTAGATAATAAGAGTTTGAGGCTATCGTAAGAAAACACATAACCTTCTAAGTTAGAAGGTTATGGGTTATCAAATCATGTGGAATTGAATAATATGCCTTTGATAAATTCATAAGATTAGCCCCAACTATACCTCATTTATCCAAGCATTTTTGCCTTTTATTAACTAAATTAAAAAGTGCGTGCTGTGCACTATACCCTATACGAAACCCACACAGTAATTTTTTAAGACTTGGCTCTATTAAAACCCGTATTTGCTCGTAAATAATGATTTCAAACACTTTTGAGAGAACTGGCAGAATAATTATTGGGTGGAAGTTACACTTATCAATAGGGTCATTTTTTTGTACATTTCAAGGAAAAGGACGATAACTCATCTCACTATTTATAGGAGACGATCCAACGTTTGTGAAATATAAGTTGAAAATGTTTGAAATTTGAAAGTTATCCGAAATGGTAAAATTTGAACGTCAGTGGGTATGACTAAGCCATTTAATCTTTTTGAAGTAATGTTATCATTAATATACGCCAGAAGTCCTCCACTTTGATAGAATATATCAAGGCGATAGGGAGTTTAGTAACCTGTATATAAAAAATGACTAATAGGGAAAGAGTCATCTATTTTAATTTCACCCATAATAAGCACATCAACAGTTTTATTAATAAAGTTAGTTATTTCTATGAATTTATAACGGATAGAGTTAATATTGATGAAAGCTAGACTAACATTGTGAGGACATTTAGCCCTTAGTTTATCTAAATCAGACCTATGACTAATTTCTTAATTGGGGTTGAGTAAGAATGTTTGGAGATCATAAATTAAAGGTGGGGGTCAATATGAATAGACTTCAAATAAGTAATAAAATTCATAGCTAACCTACCTAAACCTCGGTGTTTGGATGGAGACCATGTTGTCCAAGATGTTCTTTAGAGATGAAAGAATTATCAATAATATTAAAACGCGATTCTTTAAACTTAATTATTAAATGCTAAGAAGTCAGCTGGGCTTTGGCGTTATCGAAACGAAAAGTCGCCGTGGACAAAATGATTAAACAGGATGGATTCAAACTTGATATACATTCGACAAGTTTTCTCATTATAGTTTCCGATGAATCATCGACACAATTGTTTGTTCCTATCTTGAGGATAAGCTTAGATGGCTCTTTCTTCAAAAGTGGGATTAAATTAAAGTGCAAATCTTCAATAGTTGCTCCTATGAATGTTCGTACTTTAACTTTTCCTAACTTGTGAATTTTTTTTCATTCATTCCTATGAGAATTGAATCACCACATATTAAAAATAGTACCAGATGGCCATTTTTTACTATTTATCTCTTTAGTAATTTCACTAAAATTATCTTTATTGAATTTTGTTTTACTGGTTTTTTTTAATAATATGGGTTTATCCAAAATTACGATAGATTCACTTCTTTTGTTAACCTTTTTTTGGTACTTTAAAAACATTTTCTTATGTTTCAGCCTGATAGAATGAAGTTGACTCGTTAAATCGGAGTATTTTTTTAAAGGTTTGCCTCGTTCAATTTCAAAAGAATTTGTGGGATTTATATGATCAGATTTGAAGGTTTTTTTTAGATAAATAATATCTTGATTTTTGTTGGTTGCGAATATCCGCTAATTGATTGTTTAAACGATCTTTTACTTTATTACATTTATTAAATATTTCATTTTTTTAAAAGTTTCTAATGTTTTTTTACGTCAACTTCCGTTTAAAATTCATCGGTATTCAAATCATTAATCAATACATTAGAATTAAACGACACATAATTTTTATCAGAAACGTGATTTAGAGTTTGCGACAATTTTTGGTTAGTCATGCTTGATTTATCCTGGTTAATTAAACTTGAAATAATTTTCCTCATTTTGCTAAACTCCCCTCTTAAAAACAAATTTTCCTCCTTTAGGATAGATAAACAAATTTCTCTATCTTTAAGAATATTTTTTTCGGCTAATAAATTTTTTAACTTATTCTCAATACATTTAAATTTTTCATAAAAAGACTTAGACACATCTGAATTAGTCATATCAGTTGTTTAATAGGTAGTGCCGATTTTATAAGACTCTTTCCCTTCCTTAATTAAGCAGCTCAGATTGTTTTTAGAAACAAAAAAATGATAGTCTTTATCAACGTGATTTTCGAGATGTTTTGCTCCTTCATTAAACATGCTTTCAGTGACGGCTCTTTTTTTACGTTTATGAACTTTTTTAATGGCATTAATGAATATGGTTTTTTAATGTTCCATTGATAGCTTTACTTTACTTTCTGCGAACTCTTGAAGAAATTTACCGAAATCATTTAGACATCTATTTGAATCAGTGAACAGTTAAAAAAAAAAATTCGTTTCCAACTTTTGCCATCTTGACCGTAACGCAATCATTTATCCATGTGGTTACATAAAGCAGTCTACGTTGAAAAAATTAAAAAAAATTATATATATATATATATATATATATATATATATATATATATATATATATATATATATATATATATATATATATATATATATATATATATATATATATATATATATATATATATATATATATATATATATATATATATATATATATATATATATATATATATATATATATATGTATATATATATATATATATATATATATATATATATATATATATATATATATATATATATATATATATATATATATATATATATATATATATATATATCATTATTGGTAAAGCTTTATATTGTGGAGAACATCAAAAAAAGCTAATACCTGAATACCACTATAAGGACAAATGCCTCATAGTGGTAGTCTGGTATTAGCTCCTTACAAACCATATTTTAACATGCTTTACTATTCTATTATAAAATTTTTCATATAGTAAATTTTAACGTTACTTTAATTGAATTATACTCATCGCCTTAGAATGGTTATGACATTTAAGACCTTAATATTTTTTCCATGAGAGGTTGTTGCAACGAAAATGTTATAAATTATATCAATTAGTCGTGTAATTGGAATATATAACGCAACTCACTGTGTGATGGAAAAATCATATTTCCTCTATGATATTTTTTTATTATGTAAAACATAAAATGTTTGCTTCTTAGAAAAAAAAAGTGGAACAAATAACGTTCAATGTTTAAATAAACTTCTTTAGGCAAATTTAAACAACTAAGAACTTTTTCTCTGATGCTATTTAATAAAATTAAAACGTGTTTCGGCAACTCATGGCTTGTTTATAAAATTTTATCGTGGTTTTTAAATTCATGTAAGTCAATTTTAAAATACATATCTGGCAAACTAAGTTTATGCGGCTTTAAAATAATATGCTTCAAAGCCACAGTTCTATGACGTACTGAACGAAAATTACTTTTTTTGGCAAAAAGTTTGAAACAATTAGATTTGTTTAATATAATTTTTGAGAGTGTTTATTTTTTTAGTATATGTCTTTTTCATCAACATTTTGGGTTTACTATTATTTAAAAATTTGAAAAAATAAATGAATTCCGTAAATATAAAAAATAACTCCGAAAATCAAACTTTTGGCGTCTTACAGAATGCTGATGAGCAGGAGCGAACATTTTTAATCGAAAAAAAACATGAAAATAGTTTCAAATCTAATAACGATTTGATACTTTCAATTCGCGATAAAGAAAATCAGTTAATCCAAAAAGAAGATGACTTTTCAACAGAAAATTCATTAAATTCAATGTTACCTAACTACAAAAGTTTGATAGAAAAGTTTATTATAGATGAACCGCCAAAGTTTGAAGTAGTTACCGGTAAAAAGTTGAACTTTGAAGTTGTAAGTTTTGACTGTTACTTTATTAAAATACTATTTTGGATGTACGAGTATGAATATAAAAACTTTTTTATTTTATGTTTAAAAGTAACTCAACTAAACTGCAATTTATGTTTAAGCGATTAAGTTTTTAAACAAAAAAAGTTTCACTTTTCATCTAATAAAATCCCGCAAATTAAACATCTGGTATTTTAACAGTGATTCGCACGTTTTTTACGTGTAAACCAATGATATATATATATATATATATATATTATATATATATATATATATATATATATATATATATATATATATATATATATATATATATATATATACATATATATATATATATATATATATATATATATATATATATATATATATATATATATATATATATATATATATATATATATATATATATATATATATATATATATATATACATATATATATATACTATATATATATATATATATATATATATATATATATATATATATATATATATATATATATATATATATATATATATATATATATATATATATATATATATATATATATATATATATATATATATATATATATATGTATATATATATATATATATATATATATATATATATATATATATATATATATATATATATATATATATATATATATATATATATATATATATATATGTATATATATATCATTGATTCACACGTAAAAAACGTGCGAAATCAATAGCCGGAGCAAGTGGAAGACAAATTTTAGACTTATTGCCAGCTTCATTTAAAACATTTTACAAAACCGTAACATTTAAGTATATATAAAGATGACAATTGAAAAAATATCAGGAAAAAAAAATTAATGAATACAAAAAAGATAGAATGCTTTTTATGTGACTTTTTTATTTTATTTCTATTTATTCTATATAACTTTTAATCTATCTTTTGATCCATTTTAGTCTTTTTATTCTTCTTAATCATTTAATTTTACTATTAAAATGTTTATAAATAATTCTTAAACAAAATTAAATGTTTATAAATAATTAATAAATAAAATTAAATGTTTATAAATAATTAATAAATAAAATTAAATACTTATAAATAATTTTTAAATAAAATTAAATGTTTATAAATAATTCTTAAATAAAATTAAATATTTATAAATAATTCTTAAATAAAATTAAATAAATGCTAAGAGTAAATAAACTACGGGGGAATTTTTAAACTGATTTTGAATAGGAGTGAGTTGTACAAAATGGATAGTTTTAACTAAGAACAAAAAATCAGTTAGAAATATTTTAGTCTTAGCAATTTCTTTTCTATGCTAACAATAAGTCTTTTCAGTATACCTTGGTTAACTTAATTGAACCTGTTTTTCCGAGCAGTGGCCAACAAGGTTCGTGTTTTGGACTTTAAGGTTGAGAAAGTTGCAAAATAATAAACTGTGTCAGTAGCATGTCTTCTTTACTGTAGGATCACTAAAGTAAAAAACTTAACTTTAAAACATACTTAACACTATGGAGTCTTGGGGAGGTGAACTCATTTCAGAAAAGAATTTTTCCGACTTTTTATGGCAAATATAACTTTTAATAATCAAAATATCTGTTATAATTAAAATAATAAATGTTATAATTAAAAGCAGTGGCGTAGGAAGGTTTTTAAATGTTTGAAATAACCAACTTTTAAACAAAAAGAATACTTCAAATTTTTGCACCTTCATGTGTATGACAAATAGATTCTTAAAAAATTACTATGATAGGAGAATGGGAACAAGAAACCCTAAAATCTTAGCCCTTCCCCCCTGCTTAAAACGTGAAAGCAACAAGACTTAAATTCATCGATAAATTTTAAATTCCATAGTAAAATCTTTTAGTATTCAAAAATTATGACCATATATAAAAACCCCTCAAATTGAGAGGGGGGGGGGGTTCAAACCCCATCAATTTAAGGGGATTGTAAATTTGAAATGGTCATAATCTTTGAGCACTAAAATATTTTATTATGAAACTTAAAATTTATCGATGAATTTATACTAGACTTATGTCTAGTTAAAAATGGTACAAAAAATATTTTATCAATTTGTTGCTCTCACGTTTGGGGCAGGAGGGGAGGGGGCTAAGATTTTAAGGTTTCTTGTTCCCATTCTCCTATCACAGTAATATTTTTTTTAAGAATCTATTCGTCATGTATATAAAAGTAAAAAAATTTGGAATATTCTTTTTGTTTACTAGTTGGTTATTTCAAACATTTAAAATCCTTCCTACGTCATTTATTAAAAGTAACTAATCTAATTATTAGTTCAGTTAATTTAAAATACTTTTTTGAGTTTTCATTTTTGAAAAAATTTCCTAAAAGAACTCTTATTAAACAATTTAAAGAAAGCTTTTTGCATACTTTTATTTTCATTCTTTTGGTATACTTTTATTTTCATACTTTTTGCATACTTTTATTTTCATTTCTTTTTACGTAACATTGATTGTTTTTTATATTTATGGTTAATTTCATAATTTCTTCATATAGTCGCTAAGTAACTATGTTGTGTCAGTCTATTAAGGTGAGTTTCCACTCATTTATTTTTTTACGGGTACGAGAAAGGTAAGGAAAAAATAATAACGGGGAAATGCGTAGTATAAGTTTTAATTTGTTTTAATTTATCCAAAGGAAAAATAAGCATGCTTCCGTGATTGTGTTTCCCTTTCCTATTCCATTCCTGTAGAAAAACTAGAATTGAGTTTATCGGTAAAAACGGTAAAAACGGTAAATGCACGATAAGCATCAAAATGGCTGTAATGAATAACTTTAACTGTAACTTACACATTATTAGCTTTTTGTTTTTTGCTGTTTCTAATATTATCTGAAAGTTAACTGAAAGTTTAACTTTAATTAGTGTAATACAATGTAAGTTACAGACCAATGATGCTTAGTATATCCAGAGACCCCCTTAATGTGTTCTATATAATAAAAAAACACTGGTTTTAAAACTTTTTTGAATAAAAAATATTTTTAGGGGATCCCCAAGACCCTTGATCTTTTAATGGGTCTCTAATATTGTTAAGAAAAAAGTTTTTCAAAAGTATATCTTGTTGGGTCTCAAAAGAAGCAAAATTATATAAAAACTTTTATAAAATAATGATTAATTTTCAAATTTTAAATATATATATATATATATATATATATATATATATATATATATATATATATATATATATATATATATATATATATATATATTTTAAATGTTGACATCTTCAATAGATTTTATTTGTATAAATATTTTAAAATAAAACTTCTTTTTATGGATTGATTTCTATTTTTAGAAATTATATCTATTTTTACGATATTTCGAGGGAATATGGATACCCTCGTTATCAAGTATATAAAAACCCTTACAAAAAAAACAAAACCGCTATTTTATATAAAAACTGTTTAAATTAACGAAACAATGTTCTTTGTAAGAGCTACTTTTTAAGAGAGTTATTTAAGTGAGTTTTTCAATGGTCACAATACGTTAAAAATCGAAACAAATAGTTTTAATAGGAAAGTACAACTCAACGAAAGTACCTTTCGCGACAATGGTCTTAATCGAGATGATGGCGATTATGTGACGACGTCATTTTGGAAACCCATGTTTAAATTCTTACGTCACAAAAAACTCACTTAAATAACTCTTTCAAAAAGAAGCTCTTACAAAGAACATTGTTTCGTTAATTTAAACAATTTTTATATAATATAACGTTTTTTTTATATATATATAACGGTTTTTATATACTTGATAACGAGGGTATCCATATTCCCTCGAAAAATCGTAAAAATAAATATAATTTTTGCAAATAGAAATCAATCCATAAAAAGAAGTTTTATTTTAAAATATTTATATATATATATATATATATATATATATATATATATATATATATATATATATATATATATATATATATATATATATATATATATATATATATATATATATATATATATATATATATATATATATATATATATATATACAACACTAAAGTTATATATATATATATATATATATATATATATATATATATATATATATATATATATATATTTTTTTTTTTTTTTTTTTTTTTTTTTTGAAATATTTTTTCCTTGACTTTTCATACGAAATTTTTATCGTGAATTTTCATCCAACTCCTTATATTTTTATTGATGAATTCCTTTTAATAATAGTTTTGTTTATAATTCTTGACTCGATTAATTGATGAATTCCTTTTAATAATAGTTTTGTTTATATTCTTGACTCGATTCATGGGTTTTGCTTGTGTCTCTGTTTTTATGACTAGGCAACTCATTATATTATCTCCAAATGAGGGTACAGCTCTAAAACTCAGTTTTATGGCTCTGAGGCCGGCTGGTAGTCAGGTTTCCCGAACTCTGTGGTAGCTCTCAGAGAGGCTGATTCCATCAACAGCTGAAAAGTATCAGAGTACTAACAGTGCCATGTTGCGCATGGATGGTGTCCCTGTTTGTACTTTTGGTGTGCATTGCCAAGGCCACATTGGAGCCCTTTGTTACGGCTTAGGGTTTTGTAGTGGAAATGAGGCAATTGCTTGAGCTATAGAACAGTGTACTGAGTACTATCAATGTTTCGAGTCAAGTTCTTAAACAAATTTAAAAATGAATAAAGTAACAAAAACTATAGAACACAAAAAACCACAGTCATCACCAAGTTTGCTAAACCTATCATTCACCAATATTCGTGGTCTTCGAAGTAACTTTTCTTCTGTTGAGTCTTATTTCTTGCAAAGTTCACCAGACCTGCTTGCTCTTTGTGAGACTAATTTGAATTCAGCTGTCTCATCTTGTGATCTTAGTGTTGATGGTTATCTTCCTTTAATTCGTAAAGACTCCAATAGTCACATGCTTGGCCTGGGCATTTACATTCGTAAGAATTCACCCATTTGTCGGGAAACTAGGTTTGAATCCACAGACTACTCTTTTATGTGCTTTCGTTTAGCACCACTTCACTCTATCACCTTTCTCTTTGTTCTATATCGCTCTCCCTCATCCTAAGACTGCACTCTTCTTGATGTTATTTCTGATTATATTGACCAAGCTCTCATTCTTTATCCATCAGCCAATATTGTCGTTGTCGGTGACTTTAATGTTCATCACACTGAATGGCTTGGCTCTAGTGTCAGTGACTCTGCAGGCATTAAGGCCCACAACTTTTGTCTTTCTCAATCCCTAACTCAAATAGTCAACTTTCCAACTCGCTTTCCAGACAACCCGAATCATTTACCTTCTCTACTCGACTTATGTCTTGTTTCTGATCCTAGTAAGTGTTCAGTTTCTTCACACTCACCCTTAGGTGCGTCTGGTCATGGTTTGGTCTCTCTAAAACTATTATCTCATTCTTCTTTACCATTAGAATCCCCCTATCATCGTACATCTTACAACTACCTTAAAGCTGACTGGGACTCTTTTCGTGACTTTCTTCGTGATGGCCCCTGGGTAGAAATCTTTCGTCTCCCTGTTGACAAATGTGCTTCTTACGTAACTTCGTGGATTCAGGCTGGCATGGAATCCTTTATTCCCTCTCGACAATTCCAAGTCAAGCCTCACTCTTCTCCATGGTTTTCCTCACATTGTGCTGCTGCAATTGCCAATCGAAACCATTACTTCCATATCTATAAGCAAAACAATTCTCCAGAAAACAGACGTCTCTTTATTACTGCTAGGAACCATTGTAAAAAGGTTTTGTCTAACGCCAAAACCCGCTATTCTCAGATCATGAAATCTCGCATTTCATCACAAAAATTAGGCTCTCGTGACTTCTGGAGAATCTTTAATAGTATCAATAATAAGGGCAAGTCTGTAATTCTATCTCTTTTGTACGGTTCAGACTTTGTCACCTCACCTTAAGACAAAGCTGAATTGTTTGCCAAGAACTTTTCATCAATACCATCTCTTAATGCCACTAGTTGCGTTTTACCTGATATACCCGTCAAACAGGTTGATCCATTGCTCGACATTCGTATCACTCCAGCTTCTGTATCTAAAGTGATTTCCCGCTTAGACTCTTCTACAGCTTGCGGCCCGGACAACATACCTGTTATAGTCTTGCAGAAGTGTTCTCCTGAGCTGTCGTCTATCTTTTCAAAACTATTCAACAAGTGCTTATCAGAGTCTTGTTTTCCAGCCTGCTGGAAAGCAGCATCTGTTATCCCTTTTTTTAAAAAATCTGGAGAGTGATCTGACTCATCTAACTACCGTCCCATTAATCTTCTTCCTATAATAAGCAAGGTTTTTGAATCTTTAATTAACAAACACTTAATCTCTCATCTCGAATCTCATAACCTACTTTCTGATCATCAGTATGGATTTCGATCTTCTCGTTCTACGGCTGATTTGCTATCAGTAATTACCGATATGTTTTATCGCGCATTAGATAAAAGTGGAGAGGTTAAGGCCATTGCTCTTGACATTTCTAAAGCGTTTGATAAAGTTTGGCATGCTGGTCTCCTCCATAAGCTTTCTTCTTATGGTGTATCTAGAAACATCTTTAAGATTATTGAATCCTTCTTTTCCAATCGTTGTATAAAAGTTGTCCTTGATGGACAGCACTCTTCTTCTTATTCTGTAACCTCAGGGGTTCCCCAAGGTTCAATCCTTGGCCCTATACTCTTTTTAATTTACGTTAACGATCTTCCAGATATTCTCACATCTAAGGTGGCATTGTTCGCTGATGATACTACCATTTATTCTTGTCACGATAAGAAGCCAACTCCCTCTGATTGATTGCAGGGGGAATCTGAGCTCGAAAAGGATCTCACTTCTGCTACAGCATGGGGCTCGCAGTGGCTGGTGAACTTTAATTCAGATAAAACTCAATTTTTTTCGGCCAATCGTTATCGCAATAATTTAGACCTTCCTATATTTATGAACGGTAATGTACTCGATGAGTCTCCTACCCTTCATCTTCTAGGATTAACTCTTACTTCTGATCTTTCTTGGAAACCATATATCAAATCCGTTGCAAAATTAGCATCTGCTAAAGTTGCTTCTCTTTATCGAGCTCGTCACTTTCTTACTCTGGATTCTATTCTCTATCTCTATAAATCTCAAATCCGGCCTTGTATGGAATACTGTTGCCATATCTGGGGCGGATATCTTCTAATGATGCCCTTTCTCTTTTAGACAAGGTGCAAAAACGCATTGTAAACATAGTTGGACCTGCTCTTGCAGCCAACCTTCAACCTCTGTCACATCATCGTAATGTTGCTTCTCTTTCTCTTTTCTACAAATACTATAATGGTCACTGCTCTAAAGAGCTAGCATCTCTTGTGCCATCTACTAAAATTCATTCTCGTGTTACTCGTCATTCAATTAAGTCTCCAAAAACTCTTATTCGTCTAGTTTTTTTCCTCGAACATCAGTTCTTTGGAATTCGCTTCCTTCATCTTGCTTTCCTGATTCATATAGTTTGCAATATTTTAAGTCGTCTGTCAATCGTTATCTTGCTTTACAATCTTCATCATTTCTCTTCTAGTAACTTCCAGCACTAATTAGTGGTTGCTTGCAACCTTGTTGGAAGCGAAGATAATTAAAAAAAATAAATAATAAGGTTTGATAATTTCAATGAGATGTTATTATTAACTTTGTCTAGTTGTTCATTAAAGTCTCGTTGACTAGCTTAACTAAGTAGTTAAGCTAGTCAACGAGATATCTGACGCAGTACTGCGTGTTTAGTTGAAGGCATTTTTTTTTTCAAAAAAATGCCTTTAACTGAACATGCGAAAGTGTGCTGATAATCAATCAAGCCATTAGAACATTAGAACAAAGAACTAGGAACGTAACGTATTAGCAACGCAACATTAACGTAGCAGCGCTTGTAAAGAAGGCTGCAATTTTGTTATTAAATGCTATTTCACAATGATCGTTATGTATGGTTTTCTGTAGCAATTATAAAGTTGAAGTGGTTTTTAAGTAACAAGCTTTCACTGAATGTTGATAAAATATTTTTCTTAAATTTCACGATCTTTTAATTAATACCGTTTATGTAAAAAACAAATCCGTAAACGTTTTACAAGTAAAACGTTTTACGAGTTTTACGAGTAAAAATTACAAGTTTTATTTTAATTGTAGGAAAATTTAAACAATGGAAGTATATTCAACAACAATTCACGACCATCTGCAAGATGCGAAAAAATAATAAAGTGGTTAATTTTTGGGTTTTCACTGTTCTCTATGTTTGCTGTAATTGCTTATGGGTTCATAAACCGTTCGACATCGTAACTGGTTTTCAACATCGTAACTGATTTTATTGGCAAAATTCCTAAACCTTTTAGTTATTGCATGTTTACTTGAGTTTATTTTAAAAAACATATTTTAGAAACGTTATTATTATATTTAAAGAAAAAAAAATCAAAAATAAAAAGAAGTTGGAGTTTTTTTCCGTGTGTTCTCTCTCTCTTTCTCTCTCTCTCTCTCTCTCTCTCTCTCTCTCTCTCTCTCTCTCTCTCTCTTTATATATATATATATATATATATATATATATATATATATATATATATATATATATATATATATATATATATATATATATATATATATATATATATATATAGAAAGAGAGAGAGAGAGAGAGAGAGAGAGAGAGAGAGAGAGAGGAAAGAGAGAGAAAGAAGGTAAGGGGTTTGAGATAAAAAGGACAAGAGGAGTAGGGGAGGTTGTCAGAAAAGGATGTCACTTTATAGATTTTTTATTTTAGTTTAATTAACACGGAAAACTACGTAAACATGTGTTTTTAAGAAGATAATGTATGAGAATATTTTTGATTTGATTTTTCAAAGGTTTAGCTGCAGATTTAAACATCATGAAAGATGAAGTAGTTTTTGGGGAGTTTAAAATAGGGAGGGGGTCAGGATTTTATTTACGTCCTTTTCAAAGGGGGTATAGGGAAAAAGGAAAACTGGTGACAAGGAGGGGGGGGAGGAGTGGGTCAAAAATTGGTTAAAAAATGGTGACGTCTTTTATAGATGGCCCCTTATTGTACTCTTTTTGTACCCAAATAACTTCAGAAAAAATTGTTAAATAAGTTAATTATAAAAAAGCATCAAAAAATTTGAGGAAAAAAACTTAAAATACATACGATAAAAGTTGAAGTTTTTACCCATAAGTCGCGTGTTTTTAAAAACGTTTTGTTTAGTCAATTTTATTTTAAATTTGAAAAAATTTTCTTTTTTACAACAATTAGTACTTAATAGTTTTCTTGAAACCATTTTAGGTTTTGAAGCGCGTGAGAGCATTTTTAGATACCATGGATACCATGGATACCATGAGTATAAACGAATGTTATACAAAAATTTATTAGACGGTTGAGATCTAAAACTGATAAACCAGGCCCAATTCTATTTGAATTAACTGAGGATTTTCTTCGCAATAAAATTTTAGGATCAGCTAAGAAATTGAGAAGTAATGAGCTACATAAAAATTGTTATCTTAGTCCAGACGTAACGGAGGCACAAAGGTTACAAGATTTCAATCTTAGAACTAAAAAAAATAAAATGAATCAAGCAAGAACAGACAATGATCTCTTTTGGTATGGCATCTGTTGCAATTAAATCCTCAAATTTAAAAAGAAATCAAATTAATAAGTTTTCTCAAGATTTGGTTTCAGATGGTATTGAAGTTGAAAAGCTGTCATGTTTATATTTTAATGCTACCTCTCTCGATAACAAATTAAATGAATTTAAAGTTGTGATTGAATAATACAAACCAAATGTAGTTGCTGTGACTGAGACTTGGTTCAATAACAACTCAGTGGTAAATGTTGAGGGTTTTCAATTGTATAGAAAAGACATATTAGATGGCAGACGAGGCGGTGGAGTGTGTTTATATATAGACAATTTAGTAGACTCATATGAACTAAATGATGCAGGTCTAAACCTTTGCAAACTTGAACAAGTGTGGACAGTAGTTTACTTTGGTAAAGACAAATATCTGCTTGGCTGCATCTACAGGCCAAATGATTTTATAGACATGTCAGAATTTCATGTGGTATTCAGTCGTGCACGTGAGTTAATTGATAAAAATAAGTTCAAAGATTTTCTAATCATAGGTGACTTCAATTTTCCATCTATTAGCTGGGCAAATGGTTGTGTAGATGTAATTTCAAATGAGAATGGAATTAAACACAAATTTTCAGATATTTTAAATGAAAATTTATTTTACCAGCATATCAACATACCAACTTTCCAGCTGTCAGACGATCAACTTATAAATACCTTAGATTTAGTTTTTACAACTCAGTCAGCAAGTGTTAGTTTAATAGACTCAAAGTTCGTTCTGGAAAATATAACGAGAGAGGTCATTTAATAATATGTTTTGATTTTATCTTAGCTGATAAAGCAGCCAGTGACTATAAAAGCAAGCAAAGATTTATGTTTGTCAAATCTAAGTTTGACAAAATATCTGATCTAATTTCAAATGTTGACTGGATAAGATGCTTTAGCAATAAAAACGTTCAGGAAATGTTTGATGAACTTATTTATTACACAGAAGTGGCATGTAATCATTTCACTCCTACTAAAATGACAATCAACTCTCTAAAAATCAGACCAGCCTGGGTAAATGCCAGTTTAAAATTTCTTATCAGAAGCAAACAAAATTTAAGATACAAAAATTGCTCGAGTAAATGGAATAACCCTGTTCTAAAATTTGAATACAAAATGATTTGCAAAAAAGTAGAGCATGAGATTAAAAAAGTTAGACAAAACTTTGAATATGATCTGGTAAAAAGAGCTGTCAAGAATCCAAAGCTCTTGTACAGCTACATAAACAATCAACGAGCAGTCAGAGATTCAATCAAAGCATTAAAAGGAACGGATGGTGAAACCACTCAAAATTCAAAATGTGTTGCGGATATTTTAAACAAAAACTTTCAAGCAGCATTTTTGAGAGAAGACTTTATTATGACGTTTATTATGACGACAGAAGATTTTAAATATGAAGATGTCTTTTTAAGAGTAAAAAACTTGAAAGAAAACAAATCAAGTGGTGTTGATAACTTACATTCAGCTATTTTAAAAAACTGTGCATCAACATTTGCTATTCCACTTACATATATTTTTAAAAAATCAATTGAAACTAGCAAATTGCCAGAGCAATTCAGATCAGCAAATATTACTCCTCTGTACAAAAAAGGTGAAAAAACCTTAGCAGTAAACTACCGACCGATATCACTCACCTCAATTGCTTGTAAAATAATGGAAGGTATAATGAGACGTAAACTTGAAATTTTTCTGAATGAGTATAAACTCATAGTCAAGCAGCAGCACGGTTTTGTTAAAAGTAAATATTGCACAACAAATCTACCTGATACACTAGATTTTATTTCCACCAGTTTAGAAAATGGTAAACCTGTTGATGTTATTTTTTTGGATTTAGCTAGGGCATTTGACACATAAAAGTGCCCCATAAAAGGCTGTTACTAAAACTAGCAGCTTATGGAATATCTGGTCTAACAATTAAATGGATTGAAGCTTTTCTGAAAAATAGAAAACAAAGAGTTATGCTAGGCAAAAACGTATCTTCTTGGGCAGAAATTATCAGCGGTGTGCCACAGGGGTCCTTAATTGGACCACTTTTGTTCGTGCTATTTATTAACGATTTTTCTAAAACCTTAAAAAACATATCTATGATGTAAGCTGATGACGCTAAAATAATGAATGAAATGATTTCCTACGAATCAACAGTGTATTTGCAAACAGTTCTTGATAGAGCGTTAAAGTGGACTCAAGAGTGACTTGTAAAGTTCAATATTTCTAAATGTATGGTCATGCACTATGGGATTAATAACAGAAAAACACCACTTTATATCAATAAACAAAAATTATAAAAAAACGTAACAGAATCTGAAAGAGATCTAGGAGTAATTTTTTCAAACAACCTAAAATGGAAAAATCAAGTGATATCATGCGTAGGCAAAGCTAATCAAATGTTGGGTATGATTAGAAAATGCTTTGTTCGTTTAGATATTAGACTAATGAGATCACTTTATGTATCTTTTATCAGGCCACTATTAGAATTTGCAGTACCCGTTTGGTCACCAAATCAAAAGGGTGAAATTGACTTACTGGAAAGAGTTCAACATCGTGCAACTCGACTAATACCATCACTCAAGAAAATCAACTATGAGAATTGTCTAAAAGCTCTTGACTTAACTACGTTAACAAATAAAAGAAAGAGAGGAGACATGATTCAACTTTTTAAGATCTTTAAAGGTTTCAACAAATTAGAAACAAAAAGAAAGTTTAATTTTCAACAAACTCAAACAAGAGGGCACCGGTTTAAATATGTAAAAGAAATCACTAAACTTATCGAGAAAACTTTTTCTTTAACAGATCAGCCAATTTATGGAATAGCTTGCCGAACGATTTGGTTAATTCAGAAACAGTTAACAGTTTTAAAGCCGGTCTTGATTGCTGGATGAGCAGCAGTCAGGCAAATCAGCTGTCATAGTGTGCTAATAACACACTCACTGGTTCATACCAGTTACAGCATTTAATAATAATAATAATAATAATAATAATAATAATAATAATAAATTTATAATAGTTTTGAAGTTAAGGAATCTTTCCAGGAATCTGTTAGTTGTTCATCCAATAAAAATAAATGAAAAATTTGCATTGTGTAAATATTATAGAATAAGTGATATAATATTTGTTTATATATTATATTTTTATAATAATTATATAATAATTATCTTTGTTTGTTTATTAACTTTGTATAGAAGCCACCAAAGTTTAAACAAAGAAATGCTCAAAAGAGTTAAATGAAAAGAAATCCTGACAGAGAAATATAAAGCAATAGAAAATACCCAACAAAATAAAGAAACAAATGAATAAAAAGTGCAATAAGAATGAGAAAGTTTCAACAAGACCACGCTGTCTCTACAACGACCACCTTATCTCAAAATCAGCCAAAAGACATGACTTTTTCTGTGAAAACAAATCCACTTTATTTGGAAATGTTAAAAATTAAAAGAAATTTTTAAAACTTTAATTGCTTTCTTCAAAAAATCATGTCAAAAATCAAAAAAATCATGTCAAAAATAAAAAAATTATCAAAAAATAACAAAGTTCTTTTGTGTTGTTCACTGAATGATATTTAGGGGAAAGGCGCCTATGATGGCATAGCGCCTATGATGGTCATATACCGGTCATATTTCCATAAAAATTAGTTTTCGTGAAAAAGTAATTAGACCTACATGACTATACTGACTTTACTTTAGTTTTAGTGAAAATACGTCCCTTGTTCACAAATATTGTTTTTATAATTAAAAAAAAAACGATTTTGGGATGTGCAGTTGTAGTTTTATTCCCTTCATACATTTAAGATTGTGATTTTATTATTAACTTTACAGAAAGGGAATTTTTATGCATTTTATATCGAAGTTTTGTGCATTTAGTGAAATACTTACTTTAATTTTATATTTTGAACAAGGCAGACACACCTTGTTTAATAAAAATGAAAACTTCTTCCCATGATGGCATACTGACGAGTTGGGGGTGTTGCAATATCGAAGAATTGGGAAAACCTTTTTTTTATAAGAAAAACTTATTTTTAAGTAAAGTAAAGAGAAAGCGATGCTCATAAAGTTTTTTTTTGGTTCAAAAAATACATAAAACTTAATATATTCTATGCGCATGCACAAAACTTTACAATGTTGCTTTGTAGCATGAAATGGTAAATTAGGATGGTTCCGATTAATTTCTGGCATTTCTGAGGGAAGACTCTAAGTTTAAATGAAATCATCAAGTTACCGTTGATTTTAACCAGCCCCATCTTCCCCTATGCCATCATAGGAGCAGTGGTTGCCTATGATGGCATACTTGTGCTTTTTTAAAAAATACGAATAACTTATAAACAAAAAAAAAACTGATGAAAACTCCGAGAATTATTATTGTTCTAGATAACAATAATAATCCAATTGTAACAAGGAATCTATCCATACCAAAACTTTTATTATTGGTCTTCAGGATACGGAATAATGAAGCTTCAAAGTTAAGTATGCCATCATAGGCGTCTTTCCCATATTTATTAAATCAGTCACATCCTAAATCAACATACAATCAAAAGAAAATGACTTTGTAATTATTAAAAACTTTTTAACTAAGAAGTAGGAAAAAACGGGGTAAGATGTTAAATGGGGCAGGTTGGCTTTTCATATAACAAATAAAATTTTAAGTACAGATGAAAACAAAACTGCATTTATATTTTGCATTCTAATACACAATTTAGTTTTTTTTTTTTTAAATCGTTAACTTAATTTCATACGCATAAAGTTCCTTTTTGCTTTTTTTAAAAAAAACTACCTCGGTTTCGTTTATTGCTAATGAATAGTTTTCTTAGAGTATCACTTTTTTTCGAATCTTTTTAATAATATAAAGTAGCTTCCTCGACTATAGTGACCTTCTCGACCTTGGGAAATAATAATTAAAAAAAAAAAAAACTCATCCAGGCAAATGAATAATTGTGTTAAAACACTCAAACAATTAACAAAGTATTATTGCTTCATGATTGTTTTGCAAAAATTAAACATTCATTCTTTTATTAATGAGTTTAAAAAGCTATTTGATATTTTTACCAACTTATTTAATAATGAACAAGAAAATATAAACTAAAAAATACATTAACTATTAGTTTGACTTTCAGAATTTTACAATGAGACTATTGTTTAAAATAAATAGATAAATAAATTATTAAATAATAGTAAATAAAGTTAATTACTCATTCAAAATGATTGTCATGTATGTATGTTTAATGGGAAAATTACAGTAGGCAGCAATAATAAAGGAAATTATTAATACCTTTATTATTATCAAATTATTATCTTGCAGCTATTCCGCATTCTAAATGGTATAATTGAATAAAATGAACCTTAAAATGATTTTAACAATTAAATACAAGTTTAAATATTTACACCATACTTAAATTATTTCCATGGTGATTAAAAATGTTCCTTTATGAAATAAACTCAGAGAGCGTTGACGCCAGTATCCTGGGGAAAAGCATTGATGGAAAAGTCATACAAAATTGACCAAAACGGATTTAAAGAGCGGAGAAGGACTTTGACACTTTGTGCTGCAAGTAGAGATGGAAATTGATGGCATGCTGGTCCATTTTTTGTTCTAAAATTTTGAAACTTTCGCATGTTTGAACAACTTGAAGAAATCTGTCTATTATCACACTGAAATAGGAACTTCTTGGTTTCAAACAGCACTTTTTGTCATTTTGCTTTACAATCTGCGTAAAATATTGGGTTGTTCCTATGTGACTTACCATTTCTAATCCCTTGACAAGAGGAGTTGCTCTTGTAACTCAGACTCTGTGGGCTCAATGTACTCTGCCACTGTTGGAAAATCATCAGCATTCAAGCCTAACTAAATTTTAGCAATAGCGGTCTCTGCGTTGACATCGATTGTAACACCTCTCTCGTTTATAGTGGTCATGTGGTTATATTAATCCAGAAAATTCTTTACTAAGTGGTGCCATTTTTCTTTTAATTCTATTAAATGCACTTCTTCCAGGAACGTTTGTAGCAAGAAATAAAGCATCAAAATCAAACTGGATAAAGTGGTGTTCTGCAATTTTTTTACTTTTTGGTATCTTGAGTTTTTATAAGGGCAACCATCAACTGTCAAAACTAAATTTGGTTTAGCCAACTGACCTATATCACTTCTGGTAATGATTTCAAACTCCTTTAGTGTAAGCAATCTTTGAAAATCAAGACCATGGCTAAATGGTATTGGTTTTGAGTGTGTTTTTTTTTATTTTATCTGTTTGCTATATTGTTCGGTCCGGAATATCCTTGCTTCTTGGTTTCTAAGACCATTAGGCTGAATTGAGATTCCAGCATACACCAATGGAATTAATTTGTGCCCTGCAGCCACCACCCAATCGTGGTCAGATAAGTTGACTCTGTAATCAACGTGCATAAGTAATGAATTTTGTATTTTGGCACCCGATTGGAACACGAGCTTTATCATCTTTGCTCAAAAAACACACTTCACTCATTCCTAACATGGACGCTAACTCTTATAAGTGCCTCATTGGCACATATGTATATATATAGTTTTAAATATAAAAAAATATTTTATTATATTAAATATTTGTTATGACGTCACACTTTACCTCGCTCCCTCTCCCTTGTCAAAGATGGTCACAAAAGTCGGAACCCCCTCCCCCTAGATACGTGACGTTATTTATGGACAGCCCCTTAGAGAATTAGTTTTCATTTTATTATTTAATAGAGTGTTCCACAGCTTAGGTCCTCGGTTAGCATTTTACTTAGTAATTTTTTTTACTTTTGTTGCGTTAATGCTGCACCAAGCAACGTTTGCATAATTTAAGTAGCAAGAAAAAGTTTTTCAAACATGACATATATAAAAATTGTTTGGCTTTG